ACCCTCGTCTGAAGCAGCAGAACACACACACACATACACATGCACACACACTACATTATCTGAGCAAACACACTGTAGCCTCACACACACATTCGCTCAGACTCACATAGTCACACACGTACACAGACAAGTTGATACAATGTGACCTCAACAGCAAAGCAAAACACGGCAACCTCAGCAGAAAGAGACTGGAATAATGACAAACTGTAGCTGTACAGTGTGAAAAAGCCTTGGCAAGTTCCCCGTGTTCTAACTGATCCCACCAGTATATGAACTCATCAGACCCAGTGTTCTCATGTGGATGTGCACTGGAGTTGACTCATCTAATAACAATATGGTCATGCTGTACTTAATATATCGATATTTCTGGTCCAACTCGAGCAGTAAACTCCTTCCTAATAACCCTGAAAAGTCTCCTGAGATATACTTTTTTACAGAATATATACAACTCTAAATTACTATTTTGTATCTTCTCAGATATAAAGAACAGCTATATTAAAGAGGTAATTTATTGCTCATTAATCTTGTTATATACGAAGATGTTATATGAGCTCATATCATTTGAAAAGTATTAATACATGCCAGTGAATGTGTGTTTGTAAACTATATAAAACGCAAAAAAAACATGCTTCAGTCTCCATCTGCTGTTAAAGGAGCAGTGTGTAGGATTTAGTGGCATCTATCGGTGAGGACTGATGTAACGTCTCCTGTGTGCCAAGCATGAACTCCTGATTATTAGTCCCTCAGCTATCATTATTCAGAAGGTTTTTATTGGGAGACAAATCATCCTCAGAGGTCTCTTTCGCTCCAAAACAAACAGACCTGGTGATTTTAACGGCTTAAAACACTGAATAAACAAGTCACGTTACTAATCAGTGTTTCTCCTACGCTGTTTGGCATGTCACAGATGGGCCGCCAGCCCAGCACCTGTTAATGTGTGCTCACCATTTTTCTCTGATAACTTAGCGTCCAGACGTTCAGGAGGTTTTTACCAGAAGCCAAATTATCAGCAGAGGTCTCTTTCACTCCGAAACAAACAGACCTGGTGATTAAAACTGGTAAAAACACTGAATAAAGCAGTTTCACATTAAAAATCAGTGTTTTTCTGACACTGTTCAGCTGCTAACTATGGTGGCACAAAATAACCTGAATTGCCCTATCTAGCACCATTGTTTGGGTTGTCAGATGGGCTACTGTAAAAACATGGCAGTGCGACATGGTAATTTCTGTGGATGAGGACCCGCCCCCTATGTAGATATAAACAGCTCATTCTAAGGTAACAAAAACACAAATATTCTTATTTTCAGGAGATTATGAACAAAAGAAAACATACTTATTATATTATATTCCATTTCTGCCAATATATCCCTGTTAAATCCTACACACTGGACCTTTAATTTCACAGCCATTTGAATTTTCACGTTTGATAAATGAAAGGGGCCATGAACTGTAGTGTACTGGTGTAGCGGACGGGAGTGCCTAAATGTTTTAATATTAAAACTTGGTTAGAAAACTTTTAAAGTGCTTTCTAATAATCTGAAATGCTAGTATTAAGCCTTTGTGAGCTTAGTCTAATCAAAACCTGAGAGCAGTTCACGATGTCACTAAATTACGGTATTTGGAATGATGTCATATATATTGTGATTTTTCAGTATGTTTTCTAGATTCAGCTTAGTGCTGGCCGATAAATGTAGCTTTCTCTGTGCCGACCTTGACAGAAAAATTAGACCAGTTTTAGGAAAAACCTGAGGGCTGTTGTGAAACCTACTGTATGGCAGTAGCACATGACTGTATGACAATAATTTACTCATATCTGATCTGTTTTTTCTGCATTTAGTTGTGGAGGATTTGAGTGTCATATGGAGCACTTTATGAACATCTTAAGCCTTAATTCCCTAAGAAATTGTCACCAAGAGAGTTGACAGGCAGTAGGAAGGTCCTGACAGGGTTTGTAACTGGGGAAAAAATAAGAGAATGCGTTTTGTTAACATCCACTGAAGGTCTATCGGAGTGTTAGTCTGTATATAGTGTGGATTGTACTGATGAGTTTCAAGCTGTTTTATTCCCGTACTAACAATGTAATTTTTAAACTAACCACATGATAAGTATTTAATCAAAATAACCTCTCCCACCCCTTCCACCCCCAAGTGAGCACTATTTAATTGGTTGTTAAAAAAACAAAAAGTGAGGTTGGTGGTGTGAACAGAATAGGGCTGCTGCAGTTTTGAATGACGGTGTGAGCAGGTCTCATACCAGTAAATTTGTTAATGAGAATTCATGCTGGCTGATTTTTGTATTTGTAATATTTTCAACACATTTCATGTGCTTGGTTTTGTGTTGTTTAAAAAAAATGAACTACATTTTTTAAAAGCAGAGTAGCTATGTATCATAATATATTTCAAAGTTTGTAATCAGAGTCTTAACAGCATTCTGCAATTTAATCTACAGAAAGATCAGAATAATACATGAAATCCTCAAGGAAACTGAAAATATATGTCAGTGTACACAGAACATTTTTCATTTTCCCCTCCATTTAATGTTCTTGACCTTTGGCCATCTCAGACTCATCTGAATGTAATTCTTTGTCATACGTGATGTTGTTTTCTACTCTGTTACAAACTGTAGCACACCGTGGAATGTGACCTGGTTTCCTCTGCTGTCTGATGTGTTCACATCCTCTCAGTATCCAGCTTCATAGAGCTTCTTCCAGCTGGTTAAAACCTGAAATCAAAGACCAAACTGCTGTGCACTGGGGGTCGTAAATGTATTTTTCATATAATGTACTCTGTAAGAAAATTAATGATATAAATTTAGCTCCAGAGCAAATTTATTCAAACTATATTATATTTATGAACCTATAACATTTTGTAGCTCTCTACTGTAGCTCTCTCTCATCAGTGCGGGAATTGGTAATGTGTGTTAAAACTTCATTCAGCAGTGTGACGTGTTAATATTTGATTCTTCTTCTTTTTTTTTTATTTAGATATTTAAATGCAGCTGTTTTCTCTTTCCCTTTTCTCTTTATAACCAGGCCTATGAAATAAGGCTATAGGCCCGCCCTATACTGTATGTATGAGATTGTGCATTCATTCTACTAAATAAAGTGTCATGTTGAACTCAATACAGAATGTGTCTGACATGTTTATTTATAGTGGAAGCATACACCGTTTGCAGGGCCCTGAAACTAGTTAAACCATTGGAGTATATAGCACGTGAAAAGACCCCAAAAACCCTTATCGGGACACATCACCCCAAAATCAAAAATAAATATTTTCCCTCTTACCTGTAGTGCTATTAATCAGTCTAGATTGGTTTGGTGTGAGTTGCCAAGTGTCAGAGATTATCAGCTGTAGAGATGGCTGCCTTCTCTCTAATATAATGGAACTAGATGGCACTCAGCTTGTGGAGGTCAAAAGAAAATAATTTGAAAAACTCATCAGCAATGTCTCTTTCCAGAAATCATGACCTGGTTACTCAAGATAATCCACAGACCTTATTGTGAGCAGTTTCATGTAGGATCTATTTTCTTTCTAGCAAGCTACACCCACCAAATGCATCACAGTGCAGAAAGAAGCATGCATCTACTCATGGACGTGAGGTTCATGCTTGTGATGTAAACATTATTGGCGTCCTCTTTAGCTGAGCTATAATGTTAGCTAGCTCAGTGGTGCTAGGTGAGCTAGTAGTAGATGCACATTTCCTTCTATGCAGCGATACGGTTGGCAGGCTAGAAAGAAAATAGTGTGTACATCAAACTGCTCACAACAAGGTCTGTGGATTATTTTGAGTAACTTGGTAAATGAACATTTTTTAATATCACAATAGTTATGTATCATAATATATTTCAAAGTTCATAATCTGAGTTGGAATAGCAGTCTGTGGATCATAATCTCTGCAGAGACTTTTTTTTTTCTTTGACCACCACAAGCTGAGTGCCTTCTAGTTCCCTTATGAATGTGAAGGTACCTCACATCGTGTGAGATGGGGGCACCATATTGTGATACTCTGTTACCAATACACTCAGTCCAAAAACAAGATATATGTCCAGGTATGTCTGGGTCTGTAATCCAGCCTTTGGCTTCCAAGTCATACGGATCAATGTTGTTTATCATGATTATTTTGTCCAAATAGTGATGCTTGACTACTACAGCAGGCACAATAACACAATAACACAATCCTCACAAGATGGTGCCCCTGTCCAGAAAATGTACACAGCATGACATCAACTTCACATTCTCTGTTAGAAAGGAGGCAGACATCTCTACAGTCGATATCTCCAACACTACAAGACAATCTAGACTGATAAACAGCACAACATTTTGATTTGGGGTTAACTGTCCCTTTAAGTAAAGAGAAAATGGCCTTTTCTGGGAATTACTTAATGCCACCAAACGTTATGTACTTGAAAAAATGATAGTGGTCTAATTTTTCCTGTAACAACAAAACCATACAGAGTCGACACTGTAAAACTGCTATAATCTTAGTTTCAACACTGGAGGGGAGACATTCCCATGAAATGGTTTGGGGTTCCTCTGCCAGAAACGTTTGAGCATCAAAGACTTTTCTTCAACATTCTGATGAATTTTTATGCACCAATTTGAACCTTTTTTGCATCAATTTATGGTGTAAACCTCTTTAATTTTGTCATAATGTCCTCTGCTAATTCGTGTTTCTATTGGGAGGGGCGATGTTCTTCTTTCTTTTGATTTACAACAACTGATGATTAAAAAAATCTTGCAGTGAGTGACTGTGATATTGGTACACAAGTTTAAGTTAATTCTATGTTTTTGTTTTTAAATCTCTTGTAGCATTACTATTCCTCTTCTTCTTTTATGGTGACCTGTTTCTAAAAGTTGTAAGTGGGTGATAGGAAAGTCAAAGATAAATATGATAATGACCTCTTCACCCTCTCTGGAAATAGCACTGGTAGCTACATGTTGTCAGAAACAGCAGCAGTAGCAGCAGCAGCAGTTTGCTATTCCTGGACCTGAGTGACTTTCAGTGCGAGCACAGTGAGCAGGAGAGCAGGCGGGCACACAGTCCTCGTGCCAGGCTCGGTTTATTTCCCGCGATAAAAATATTAAAACTGGATATATCACACACAGCGGTAAGTAGACTCCTCCTCTTGTGTTGTTGAGTATTTATGTGGAGAATACAGCTCTCTGAGTTTTTGTACTGCCATGTCTGATGGTTAAGACCAGCAACACGCACTGGACACGATTAGTACAGCACGAGAGTCAATTTAACTTCCTGCTAAAACCTTCACAATAAAACAGGTGGACTTGGTCGCTGTGGGACCAAATAGCAACATAATGTAAACAAATGACAGTTAAAGGCTGTAAACAAAATTACTTTTATAAAACAAGGCATATAAATGTGAGCTGTAACTGTCACGCAGAGCAGAAGAATGTAAAAGGTTTAGCTAGCCATAGCCTACATCTGTAAAGTACAGAAGCCCATTGCTGCCACACCAGGAAAAAAATAATGGGTCAGTATTACGTTACAACGTAAAAAGTTTATTGTTCTACCAAGAAGTTTTTCACATTACAACAATATATTTTCACCTTATAACAACATATTTTCACGTTAAAAGGTGATCATCTATATTGTAAGACCATGAAAAGTTTCACGTTATAACGTGATAATTTATATTGTAAGAACATGAAAAGTTTCATGTTATAATGTGATAATTTATATTGCAAGACTGTAAAAAGTTTCATGTTATCATTATAATGCAATATTTGGTCTCGGGAGGAGGTGCACCCATATACTCCGGTTGTGATTTGACACTTGGCTCTTTGCAATGAACAGGCATCAACATGGCCCAAAACACAGATAACATGAAACTATATTGTTATAATGTAAAACTTTTCATGTTCTTACAATATAAATTCATCACGTTATAGCATGAAACTTTTTCACATTTTTACAATACAAGTTATCACGTTTTAACATGAAACTACATTGTTATAATGTGAAAATATATTGTTATAACGTGAAAAACTTCTTGTTAGAACAATAAACTTTTCATAACGTAATACTCATCCATTATTTTTTCCTGATGTGGCAGCAATATGCTTCTGTAGTAAAGTGACATGCATTGTAGAAAAACTAACAGCTGGAGAAGTAAAAACAAAGCTAGCTTACATGAACATTCATGAGTTTGAACTGAACTTAAATATTGCAGCTATGTGAAAAGGTACGAAAGAAAATTAGTGCCACGTATGCCTTCTTAGCACCTGTGTGGAGGTAAATTAGAATCTCTTATATACCCTGCATGCCTGTTAAAAACAATACTTATAATTCCATGGCACTAAAGATGGTGGGTGTAGCCATCACTGGAGGCAGATTCAATGATATCAATGGAAAACAAAACTGTTACATTTCAGTTTGGACATTTTCATATACTCCACTGTGAGCTAGGACTGGGACACTCAGTTTTTATAATAACATGTTTAATTATGACTATAGTTAATGAGGATGGAAGGCTGTTTGAAGTTTATGAAACAACATCGCGAAATCAACGTTGACTTATCTTTCAAAATTAAAACATAATTCATTCAATTGCTCAATACTCATGGTCTTAGGCAATTCTTATTTTGTTTGCAGAGTACGAACAAAGTCAGATAAGAAAATAATAAAATGTTGGTACACATGATTTAAGCACAGATTTGTGCGTACCCACTGTTTGTGAATGAGGCCCACTGAGTACCATGAGAGCTGTGTGAAACACTGTGTTTTACTAATCATTTTACTGTCTTAACAAAATAATGGCTCTAGCCAAATATCCCTGAAAAAACATTTGAATTGCCAGCCGTTCATGTTTACAACATTGGCGGCCTCACTGTAGTAGTCCATGTAATATCAGAAAGAGTTCAGTTGCAGCTGGGCCGGTGTCAGGCGCTATTTACGTTGACATGCCATTCATCTAGCTAAAAATAAATGCACACATTCACTGCCCCTAGGAAATGTCATTGCACACAACCTCCTGCAATCAGTGACAAAAAGCACAAGCTATCTGCCTGAGATAAACAGCTGGTGAACTCTTGTTTCAGAGATGTAAGCATGACTGAAGAACTCCTTCCAAGTATGCAAACGCATTTTTGTTGCAGCTTTTTTCCTGAGTGCTGCTGTCATCTGGGCCCATCTTCAGCTGTACTCGAACTCTTCAGGCTCCAGTTAAACATGTCATCTTCATATGCTGCTGCTATATCAGCCCTACTTTCAGCCAGCTCTTCCAATCCACCCGTCATACCCAGCCCTCACCCCTCCCCAGATACAGCAGGGAGTCCTAAATCTTCCCCCACGCCCAGCAGACCTGCCCACTGCCCTACAGCTGTACAGACAAGTCCCCGTTCACCTGAGCCTGTGGGATTGTTCGACGAGCAACAGGAGAATCCTGCAGACTATGGCATTGGTACGAAGCACTGCAGCACCAAAATCCAACACACTGGTTGAGATCTGCTCTTTAACGCAGGTGGTTCATTGTGTTGCAGGTGGTTACTACCCTGTAGAGATTGGAGACATTTTCGTAGACCGTTACCAAGTGGTTAAAAAGTTGGGATGGGGCCACTTCTCTACTGTGTGGCTCTGCTGGGATATGGTGTAAGTAGGTTTGACTTTTTGACTTTAACATGGTAACATAACCTAGAGATAATCAAACATAATTGTAGCTAACTGCCATAATTGTTTGCATGCAGGAAGAGCCGCTTTGTGGCTCTGAAGGTGGTGAAGAGTGCTCAGACATTCACAGAGACGGCACTGGATGAGATCAAACTTCTGAAATGTGTCAGTGTGACCACATGGCTTTTGTTTTAAGAGGCGTACTCAGTAGTTTTTAGTAATGTGTAGTCTCACAATACATGAATTGTGGATCTGGTGAGAGTGTTGTTAATATTTCTGGTCACCATAAAGAACACACTGACTCCACTGTGGTGGCTGTGGAGCAGGAAGATACGATGCCTGAGACGTTTTGAGCAAACTGCATATCCAGAACACTTTGCAAAAACACAAATGCATTAAAGCTACAGTGAGTAATGTTATGACAGAAGTTATTTTTTTGTAACTGTCACTATATCCTGACAGTAGGACACGAGGTAGATAATCTGTGAAAACATCATGTTCCTCTGGCTTGGCTTATATCTTACAGAATATGACTGTCAGTCTTTTTCTGTGAAAGAGAAAGAAAGCTTTTCATTGTCAGTCTTCTTCTGTTCACTTGTCTTAGCCATGCACGATGCTGTTGGCAGCGCAGCATGTGCACAAGCAGTGATTGACACCATGTTAGACTCCGCCTAGCTTTGGTTTCTTTTATCGGACGTAGTGGGTTATTGCAAACACCGCCAGGAGCACAAGAAGCCAGAGAAACCTGATTTTTATTTATTTTTTGTACTGATTATCTGTCTTTTGTATCTGTCTGTCGTGTATTTCAATCAGGAGAAACAGAAGACTGAAGTTGAGATAAAATTTTGATACAGGATATGAGTGTATAAATTAACAGATGATTTGTGCTGATTAAGATTTACCAGAAGTCTTTGGTGCTTGGAAACCAGAGGGACATATTTTGTGATTGAGGGACATCTGAGCGGCAGCAGAGTTAATCCTCCCATGGAGTCCAGACACTGGTGGTGGTGGCTGCTGACTCTGAGGCAGATGAGGCTGATGAATGCGTAAAGTCTGGGTGGTGATGGGGAAGTGGAGGGTGCACACAAATGCAGCAAGAAAGAACCATATTTAAAACGAGGAGCAGTGAGATGATAGGCTGACAGAGAAGGTGTGTTGCTGTGCTACTGGTTGATTGTGAATCAGCAAAGACTCAGTTGACAGCCCTGGACAGTGACAGCTAGATAGAGAGTGAGTGTGTGTGCAGCAAGTGAAAGGCAGGATGAGAGAGACAACTTACAGTCTGAGCATGAAAAGTATTGAATTGCGCTAGAGCTTAATTACAGTCAGGTCATATTTGCTGGAAAAGTTTCCCACTGTGGCTTTGACAGAAAAAACAAAAACATTTTTTTAAATTCGCAAAGTGTTTGGACCTGCAGTTCATTTGAAACGTCTCAGTCACTGTAGGAAGATTTACTAATGAGTGAGACTGATTATGGTGGCATAAAGTACAATGTCTGATGTCATTTCAGGATCTCTGAGATATATGTTTGATATTGAAAGTGTATTATGGGGAGAAGATGATCACAAACTGATGGTTTTGTGTGTGTTTGTATGTGTGAGGAAGACAGGGAGTGCACAACATTTTGACATAAAAAATGTATATGTCATAGCAGCTCATGATAATATTAATATTGTAGCTCAGCCTGCCTGCACAGATTTTGTTATTTTCACATAAATACCAACAGGACAGCAGCAGCATCTTGCACTATGTTATTGCATTTGATAGATGATAGAAAGTCATGCAATCACAATGTGATTGTCTTTATTACACTTACACATTCTTGTTGATATTCTAATATGTGTACTATATGACCATCAGGTTAGGGACAGTGACCCCAAAGATCCAAAACGTGAGACAATTGTGCACCTCATTGATGACTTCAGGATCACTGGAGTGAATGGAGAGCGTATCCTTTACAGAAACATACTGTACGTCCCCACTCTGTAACATGTGGTGCAGGTCTGACTTTTCTGTTAAATACTGTTCTTAAATTATGCTTTTTACAAGTGTGCTTATACTCAGAGAAACAGATGGCACCGTGACAACATCTTTGTGTCATAGTGGTAGGCTTCGAGACTTCAAGATGAAAAGATTATGTCAGTGTGTTTTTCCCCTCTCCAAATACCCAAGACACTCTCAACACCCATGCTGCAGAGGTCCTTAATGTCTTACCAGATGTGTGCATGGTTCTGGAGGTGCTGGGCCACCAGTTGCTGAGGTGGATTGTCAAATCCAACTACACTGGCCTCCCCCTGCCCTGTGTTAAGAGCATCCTCAGACAGGTGCTGTGCAACCTTTTATTCCTTCTTAAGTCATCCTCTCTGTATTTCACCACTGGCTGAGCGCTTCTTTGAACAGATTATCTTCTATTTTTGCTCCTCATTGACATTGGGTGCAATGACAGTGACTGTATTTTCACTCCTTATCACAGGTTCTGCAGGGTTTAGATTACTTGCACACTAAATGCAAGATTATCCACACAGACATCAAGCCAGAAAACATCCTCCTGCGAGTGGATGAGGTTTACATTCAGAACCTGGCGGCCGACACCAAGCTGTGGCAGCTGCCAGTGTCCTCCGGTTTCACCAGCTCCACAGGTTAGTGATGCTGCATTAGTATGTCTAGCTTCAAGTATAAAGGAGCATGTGTCAAGGGAATCTGCAAGTACCAGGCTGATGGAGGTGTTATTGATTAAATGCAAGGAAAATGTTCACTGTGTTTCCTTTTTCGCTTGTTTTCACATCCTGTGCCTCTTCGCCCTGCTGATGTTTTGCTTCCTGCCAGTGAACAAAAGCCTCAGAGAAAAACAGGTGTGCAACCTGAAATGTATTCTTACTCTATTCTTGATCATTATTATTTAATTCTTGTCATTTGGACAGTTGTGTTTTTCATAATTACATTATGACCTGTTCATTTCTCCTATGACTTCTGAAGAGTTTGTCCAGCTTGTTGGGGAAGCTGACTGGGGTTTTCCACACTCTTGGGGAGTGGGTAAGATGAATGCTGTGTTTTGCTTTTGTGCTTGAGCCTTTTAACTGCATCTTGACAACATTTAGAGCCTGTAATTTGCTATAGGACATGTGAAATCATTGAAAAGGCAGGACATCGGACATATACTAACTGATTTTGGCAGATTGCTGCCCTAGATGAGCACACTGCATAGAGATTTCTTACATAATCATGACTGTGATGCTCAAGGAGGAGGAGATATGAGTCCTTTATATACACACATTTATGTTGTTAATATTACAGCAATATTACCCCACTAATTTTGAGAAATAATTTAAGCAAAAAAGCCTTGTTGACTAATTAAAAAAGCTAGCCACGATTAAATTCAGGGTTACACTGGGATCTGTAAATACAGGGAGCTCTTTGAACTCTCTCTGTTTTTGCTCTTTAGGAGATTGGTTGATATAATAGGTGTTACTACACTCATTCTGTTGTACTTTTCTTTTTATCACACTTGACCGTAAAGAGGCAGTGGAAATCCCTTAACAATATTGTACAGATTGCAACTCAACTTAGAAACATATTTTTTACAAGCACTTTCTGCATTGCAGTCAAGGCAGGTGAAGAGGAGATGACCAGGGTAGAAAACAAGATATATTTGTACTGCACAGCTCTTATATCTCATAATTAACACATTTCTGTAACTATCAAAATTAAAAGCCAAAGAGAGAAACACTGAAATAGCCCCAGATTATATCTTATGTTGACAGTTGTCTTGAACTTCTGCTCAAACTTGCTAGCTTGCTCTTGTGGTATTGTTGTGTCACTAACTAACAGACTCCTGCAGCTCAAAGAGATGGGACACGTTAGGGGTGTGGAGGGGGTTTCCTGATGTAGGCTTCTGTAAGATGACACAACTGCAGATTTTGATGTCCTTCCAACATCTACTGTTGTGATTTCAAAATAGCTTGTTGTTAGCAACTTACTGTTTTACAACATACAGAGTAACATCCTCACAGTTTATTCTTGAGATATTAATACATGGATGTCATCTCTATAGACTCATGGAAACTACAGACGATATGCATACAGATGCAGATATACTGGTAAAAGCAGCTGATAAATGGTCACAGAATATGTAATTTTATCATGTGAATGTTATGTTGAGTGTTTTTGATGCTACCATTGGGGGGCACCAAAGTCAGACATTTAAATCCTACACAAAGGCTGAACACCGTTCTTCATTTGCATGTAGGCCTACTGTGACATGTTCACCATCATCACGTCAAGGTAGTAAGGCTATAAATGCCGGTGATATAAGGGCCTCAACTCTTTTTCACTTGTTGCTGTGGAAACGTTTGAGCAACAACTGCGCAGGGTGATCGCTGCAGCACTTGCAGCTGAGGAATGCCCCACACCTGGTCATACTCTTCACACAAAATGATGAATCTTAGTGCCTGCTCATCTGCCCCTGCAGATAACAACATTTATAGGCATTTTTTGTGACTGAACAAAATGATACTCATATTTTTATACAACATTTAGGCTACACATACTCAAATATCCAAAATATTTGTAAATAAGGACTGGACTATGATTAAATAAATTGGGTTTACTGACATTGTAAGTCCTTTGATTGTTTTTTGGCCAAATGTCTTAGTCTATATATTTGGGATTACACTGCCCAGCTTTTACAGGGTAGGCTCATAAAATAATGGAGGTAGCCACTGTGACGTCACCTATTGGTTTGTGTACTCTTGTTTGAAAGCCTTGAATTTGGTTGATTTCGGCTGTTGCCATCTGGGTGACTATGTTTTGACAAGTGGGTGGAACTGTGAATGAGCGAGGGGTGGATCTGACTCATAGACTGTAATGACGCCTCAAAGACAACTTGTCACTCAAAGTGGCAGTGCCCTTAATTATGCATATGCCTTAATAAAATTTCAAAGGGTGAGTTATATAAAAATTCATCACCCATACAGTTGTCATGAATGTTGAAATTAGCTATAGAGACCAAAACTGTTTTTTGTACCAGGCTGTAAACATGTTTATTTCTGCTGTAAAGTTGGGCAATTTAACATGGTGGTCTATGGGGACTGACTTGCTTCTGGAGCCAGCCTCAAGTGGTCATTTGAAGAACTACAGTTGTTTGCAATGGCTTTTCAACACTGGAGTTTGCTGCTTGGGTAGGCTGCATAATAAAAAGCATTTTGATAAACTGTATAGCCTATACTTGTACATATCACAATTAAAAAGACAAATGTCATGTGTCTGTATCAAGATGTGGTTGACTGTTATTTCTGGCCTACATGATTCAAATAATGATTTAATACACTAATTGTTTAAAAGATTCATAATAAGTTAGTTTTGTTTGAGTTGGCAATTGGACACTACAACCTCACATCCGTATTGCAATGAATTATGGGTAATTATATCAGTAGAGTCTGGTTATGTCTGCACCCCAAGCAAACTCTTTGGCAGTCTGGAAAAAGTCAGTTTGAGGCTCCTTGTGGACTGGATGTGTCTGCTAGTGCGGTGAAGTCTGGACATTTGGATTTAGCCATAGTGGCTTTAATTTGCACGATTTCCTTCACTTCCATAATAGGCATGAAGTTGTGATAATCCATCAAATAATTAATCCATTGTTTTACTTAGCGCTCACCTCTGATTGTTTCCCACAACTGATCAAACCCCTGCAGTCCAGCAAGGTCTCCGGGAGCCCCATTAAGCGACTGACAAGAAAAGACAGGAGTCGACGGGGACAGGAGAGTGCGTCTGGCCACAATCAAAAGGACCAACTTCATGTGTCGTTCTCTGATGCCACTGCTCCTTCTAGCACCAGTAGCTCCATCCGTCACTCTAAGCTCTCAGGTCCTAACCTCACTTTAAAGAGGCAGACAGTGCTGTTGGAAGATGGACTGGACACGTCTCCACGCAGCCACAGACACTCCATATGCACGTGGCCAGACCTCAACACAGATGGTCCTGTCTCTGGCTCTAGGTCGGTGTTATTGCATCAGACTGCAGACAAAGAGCTGCCCCCTCCTTCGCCATCCAATCCCCGTGGTCAGTCTCATGAATGTGTTTGCCTGAGCTAATATTTACACAGTATGTTAGCTTATACATTACCTAGCTTTCATCAGTACACTCTGTCTGTCAGTACAGTCTATCTTGGCCATGTCTTCTCATCTATCACATTCCTTTATATTTTTTTAGTTATCAGAGATTCGGATGTTGTTCTAGACCTACTAAAGCCTCAGAATGCTGATAAAATCCTCATCAAGATTGCTGACCTGGGCAATGCCTGCTGGGTGGTGAGTGACTATCCTCCGTGGCAGCATTATCCTCCACAATTTATTTTGATAATAGAGCATTTTTAAATTTTAATTTGGATTTTTATTTATGCATCAAAATACACAGTGATAACCATACTGATTGGCCAGGATTTTTAGGAATACCTGGATTTAATTACTGAAATATCTTCATGTTTATCAAAATATGTTACATACCAAACTAAATGAAGATTTGATGAAAATTGTAGAGTGGTGAAAACAGTGGCAAAATAGAAGAAGATAATAAATAAAAATACAATGAAATATGTTAAGGGAGAAACTGGTGGGGCCTGCCGTAAAGGTATGTCTTAAATCAAGACATGTTTTTTCTTCTGCACCTCAAAGTTGTTGGAGCTGTGAAGGAAACTGTGAGGTGTTTTATGACTGGCAGGTCAGGCAGGTGATTGCAATTGTTGGACTAAGAGTCTCATCCTACTCTCCAATGTGCTATGTGTGAGCTCAGTCCTGCGTGTTCTTTAATGAAGCAATAGGAGAAGATATTCGGTCTCAGTTAATGTAGTTTATTAAGCAGTAAAGGAATAAAATTACAGAGCTCTGGGTCTCAACTTCACGTCCCTGACGAACAACAAAGGTGTGTCAGTTCACAAAGTCTGACCTCCTGTCCTTTCCCTGACCCAGTATATTTGAGCGTAACAGAGTGTCATTGTGCATGCAAGGCGTTGTCCTCTTCTCATTGGCAGTTCCACTTCCTCCTTCACCACACCACGCCCCTGCCTCGTGTTAATCTGACTCCTTCCCGCTGGCGGTGGGGGCGTAGTTCCTGTTTTGAAAGACAAGAGAACAACACAACTCCCTACACGTGCTGTACCTTACTATCTGTATATCACTTTCTATTCTTTTTACCATATATGAAACTAATTATCTAAGCATTGCGGTATGTGCTCCTCAGACTTCATGTCTCTTCCTCTCCTGTACTTCTCCACTTCTGCAAAGCAAACACATTCAGATCAGCTGAAATCATCCAGTATTCTCATTGTTCACACATCTAAAACTTATATAGTGAAACACAACTTATAGTAAAACACATAAAATCATTCTATTCCCAACACAATCCAGGCTGACAGGAAAAGTTCAGTGATTTACTGAAAAAAGTGAAGCTACGTAAGCTTACTGGTGAGTAGCAAGTCTGAACAAGAGTTACTGAGAATTCACCAGTGAACAGAAATGAGGCAGGGAAAAGTTACAGACAGACAGGTACAGATGAGGAAACAGGAACAGGTACAGCAACAAATACAGATACAGATACAGATACAGAAACGGGTATGTGTTCAGGTACAGACACAGGAACAGGTATAGATAAGTCCATCCAGCTCTACCTTGTTGATTGTCCATGGAGCGGAAAGAGCGCAGAAATTTTCCTTACAAAAAAGAACAGGCTGTGTTTAGAGTCTCTGTTGCAAGATAGCGAGTTTGTACACTGAGACCTTGTTGAGCAAGAGCGATCCCTGCAAGCAATAGTCGTGATTTAAACGTATTGGCTATATTTAGCTCCGATTTAGTCTAGCTACATGTAACCCAAATCTAGCCGATTTAAATTTGAAATTGATTAAATGTAATTTTCGCCATTGCAGATGGCGTGCAGTATGATATTCAATCACGTATGGAGAGTCAACAGTAATTAAAATATGTTTATCTCCATTTTTTGGACATGGTCTCTACATAGCCGTATAATTGATGACGTCTACACTTTGGTTATGGTTAGACGTCTACCAAATTTTCACTGACAGCCCAAATTCAGCCGTGATTTAGCCTAGACGTCAGGTCTTCATGAACACGGCTATTAGATGTTTTTTAAACCAAAAAATGCTTGCTGGGATGATTCTCTCTTGACCAAGCACCACCACAAGGACTGCAGTGTTTCTAGCTCCACCTTTTGGTATCAGATCAGTGTGGTAGTTACCTCAACAAAGCGCTAACGGAAAAGCAGGGCAGGGGGGTACCATACACAACTTTTGACAATGGAAATGCAAAAATAACCATTGTAATGTGTAATGAACTTAATAGAACTGAAATGTATGGCTTGGTGGAAACAAGGCTATACAGGAACAGGTACAGGTACAGATAGATGAACAGGTAGAGATAAAGGAACAGGTACAGGTTTGGGCACAGGTACAGACAAAAGGAACAGGTACAGGTTGAGGAACAGGTACAGATACAGATACAGGAAAATACAGGTTCAGGAACATATACAGGGACAGCTTTAGGTATAGATAAAGGAACGGATACAAGGACAGGAACACAGTGGTGTAGTCTAGTTTATTGTAGTGGGTATACTGTGATGATTCCCTCCCAGCCTCGTAGGGAGGCATGGCAGTGACCTATTCATGGGTACCAGTGACATCACGTCGACGAGACCGCCACCATATTTGTGTCCGATTTGACCGTACCCCTATGTTTCGCTATTGGCAGTACACACCTCACACTTAAACGAGACGGAGAGACAACGATATTTGTTAAGAATTTCCATTATTGGTTGCGACTCATATTTAGTACCCTCAACAGTATTTTGTCCGCTAACCTCTGCAACATGCTGTGTGTGTGTGTGTGTGTGTCCGTCTGTCCGTCCACTTCATTAGGTCCACCCGTGCAATCTAATCCAACAGCTCTGTCATACATTCTACTTTATGAAACTTTTTACATTTTCAGTTTTTGTTGACATTGTCAGAAAGGTGATAATTAAACTTTATGTTTATTATTAAGGTTGTACTGGGTGGTGCTGGCGTACTGGACTGTAATATATTGAAGTGTTCCTAATATTTTGTCCCCCTCAATATATGTTAATGGATTGGGCAAAATTATGAGAACACCGCACAATATAATGCACTCCAGTACACCAGCACCATCCACTATGACCTCTATAATAAAAATAATGTATAATTATCACCTTTTTGACAATGTCAACAAAAACCCAAAATGTATAAAGTTAAGCTTCGTAAAAATAGCATTTATGGCATAACCATTGGATTGGATTGCATTAGACCGCACAAGTGTTACCTAATGAAGCGGCCGGTGAGTGTGTATTATATTTAAGGACCCACACCACGATGAGAGTAGGTAAGAATAATAGTTAATTAGTGACTGACATCAGCTCAAACCATAAGCTTTTGAGTGTACCGTAATCTGATAACGTTAGCTAATGTTAGCATAAGACAATGTGAATCTCCATTGAGGTAGCTAACATCATGTTAGATAACGTAGTGTCGGGCTGTCGGCGTTAATCATATGGCATCTGAAGTTAATCATGTTTCGCGTGTTTTGTAAGGGGTTTTCAAAGACTAAAATAAAAATTAGATAGAGTTGAGGACTTACCAGACACGAAGTGTTGACTGCACAACCTGGAGTTAACGTTAGCTGTTGGCTGCCAGTGGGCTCTTCTTATCGCAGCCAACCATTTATTCCGGTCTAACATTACATCCTTTGGGATGGAATAAAACTGCAGTCCGGGGTTTCTTTGTCGACTGGTATCACAGCCAACAGCACAACATCCTTCCTGGCATCCGGAAGTTAAAGTTCTGTCACAAAACTATATTGTTACGGATCTTTGCACATTTTTAAGTGGGTATACGGAAATCCTGGAGCTTTCTTAGTGGGTATATGGCGTATACCTGTGTATCACGTAGACTACACCACTGCAGGAACAGATATAGGAACATGGTTAGGTATGGGTACAGATACAGGGATAGTATGGGTTCAAGAACAAGTGCGAGTTCAGGAACAGTAACAAGTATAGATGACGGAACAGGTGCGGGTTCAGGAACATGTCTGGGTTCAGGAACAGTTATGGGCACAGGAACATGTCTGGGTTCAGGAATAGGCACAGGTACAGATACAGGAACTAATACAGATGAAGGAACAGGTACGGGTTCAGGAACAGGAACAAGTGCGAGTTAAGGAACAGAAACAGGTAAGGATGAAGGAACAGGTACGGGTTCAGGAACAGGTATAGGTACAGGCACAGGTACAGATACAGGAACTAATACAGATGAAGGAACAGGTATGGGTTCAGGAACAGGTACAAGTACAAGAACAAGTATAGGTTCAGGAACAGGTACAAGTACAGGAACATATATAGGTTCAGGAATAGGTACAGGCACGTACAGGAACAGGTATGGGTTCAGGTACAGGTACGGATTCAGTTATGGATGCAGGTTCTGGTGTCTTGAATGCAAGGCACGAACAACGACACTGATGATGTGGTGGGAAATGAGTGAAAATGGGCTGGAAATTCTACTGAAGGGCTAATGAGGGAAAGTGTAAACAAGTGAGCAGGTGGTAGTGAAAGTAAGGTGACTGGGACAGGTGGGGGAGTCTGAGAGTCTGACGGCATGTGGTGGATGGATGGAGAATAGTAATGCAGGGGGCTGGTCAAGGGGTAATGTGGCTGACACCACATTTCTAGTTTATAAAACAGTTCCAACACGTTGTCTTTACAGAACCAAATGCGACAGGTGCTTTCTGTAGAGCACAGCAGCCATGTTTATTGTGCCCTCCAGTGAAAGACAGAGCTGCCATATGTTTCGAGTGAGACAAGACTGAGTGGGCTGGTGATGTAGCTTGAGAGAGACATACAGCATAATCTTGTGCATTTCAGAACTACCCGCTGGTGGTGGTTATGCTTCTCATTTCATTTGGCAGAGTCAGAGAAAGAGACGGTGATGTTATTTTCTCTGATGATGTTTACCTTTCATAAAACATTTTTAGCCATGCTAGCAGCATGGCATTAGGGATGGCAGTGTCAGCCACTTTTGTCCAGATGAATATATCTGACACCTTTTGGATCGATTGCCATGGAATTGTGTACAGCATTCATGGTCACCACTGTGCTGCCCCCAATACTTTTGTTTATGACTAAATACATTCTGCTCAGTCTAATCTGTATGTCAGCATGCTAAACTAAGATGGTAAACATGATAAACATTACACCTGCTTAGCATCAGTATATTAGCATTATCATTGTAAACATGTCGGCATGCCAATGTTAGCATTTAGCATTTTCATGTAGAGTTAGAAAAGAAGAAGAAGTTTTTGTGAGGATAAGATAATAGTCATAGATGCATGTCATTTTTTTGGTGGAACATTAAAATCTCATCTGTCTGGTCGTCAGCACAAACACTTTACTGAAGATATCCAGACGTGTCAGTATCGCTCTGTGGAGGTTCTGATTGGTGCTGACTACGGCACACCGGCTGATATCTGGAGCACTGCCTGCATGGTGAGCCGAGCACCTTTATAGATATGTACAGTATTTCTTAAGATTTCTAGATGTGTCACAGCCATGTTCTTCTATCCCTTTATATATGCTGCAGGCTTTTGAGCTGGCCACTGGGGACTACCTGTTTGACCCCCAATCAGGAGCCACGTTCTCCCGCGAGGAAGGTTTGTGTTGTTCACCACATCCCTTTTGAGTTTGACTAAAAAACTAAATGTGCTTATAATACGGTGTGCTGTGTGTTCTCTAAGATCACATTGCCCACATTATGGAGCTGCTGGGATCACTTCCATGCCAGTTCGCTCTGTCAGGAAGAAATTCCAAGCGATACTTCAACCATAAAGGTAAAATTAACTAAATTATTACATATACAGTGATACTTAATAAATGCTTTTTTTGCTAAGTGTATAGTCAAATTACCTGCATCTGATATTCTGAGTGGCACACAACAGTGAGCAACTTACAGTCTGACGAAAGTTTGGGATAAAGTAAAAGCTTGATATTAAAAATGTATTTGCAAACACAGTATATAATAATTCAAAGTAGATAAAAGCAGTGTATTAGTCTACTTCTTACCCTGTGCAGGACTACTGCGACACATCTCAAAGCTGAAGCCGTGGGGCTTGTTTGAGATTCTGCTGGATAAGTACGAGTGGCCACGTGAGGAAGCCACCCAATTCAGCTCTTTCCTCCTGACCATGTTGGAGCTGCTGCCAGAGAAAAGAGCCACAGCTGCCCAGTGTCTGAAACACCCCTGGATTAACTCCTAGACACATCAGCTCTGTCTTGTTCAGAGCCCAGTGGACTAGTTCTTAGGAGCAGGCTTGCACACATTGCACATGACATGGACTCGGACAGCTGTGGGAAAACAGCGGTAGTCTGGTGCTGGCATCATGAGCACAGTCTGAGAAAGAACCTTTTCCCAGTTGGGTTGCTTTGTCTTTTAGTATTTTAATGGCAGTCACATCAAATTCAGGCCTAGCAATGACCAAAGAGAAGTTTTGTCTTACTGGAAGATTGAATTGTTATGTGATCACCAAGTTCTTGAATTTCAATAAACTGACTTAACACTGCTTTTATTCTAGACTCATCTATTATTCTAGATCAAGACTCACAGACTGTGGTGACGCCTCACAGACAGCCTGTCACTCAAGCACCTACATCCTGAATTATACATAACTTTAAGCCTTGATCAAATATAAATGGTTGAGTTATATAAAAATCCACCATCTGTGCACTTGTCATTCATGTTAAAATTAGTTACAGGGAGCAAACCAGTTTTCTACACCACGGCCAGGCTGTAAACATGTTTATTTCTGCTGTAAAGTTGGGTATTTTAACATGGGGGTCTATGGGGATTGACTGGCTTCTGGAGCCAGCCTCAAGTGGCCATTTGAGGAACTGCAGTTTTTAGCACTTCCATGTTGGCTTCATTTTTCAGCCCTGGACAGTGTCACTTGGTGAGAATTTCCAAGCAGAAGTGTTTAAATAGGAGGGTTTTCGCAAAATGCATGTGTTTGAGAGGTTTTGCACGCATTATGTGAGAGTTTGTAAAAGGTGGGCCCCTTTTACTTTTGGGTTATTCTTTCACTGTGGAGGCATGTGAGATAAATTAAGTTTTCTTCACAAATTCAAGGTAACAAGAGGTGAAAAAATAACTGAGAAATGATCATTTTGTGGAGTACTCCTTTAAATGCCAACCAGGAATTACCCCCTCCTTTTTAGAAATCCCAGAGAGTGTGCTTGTGTGTGTGTGTGTGTGTGTGTGTGTGACCGTTGAGATTTTATCCATTGTACATTCTTTGCATGCTCACATTCAGCAGAGCACCGAGAGGGGGATGGAAGGTAGAAGAGGGAGGAGTTAGTCTCACATAAATGCTGGCATATGTCCGCCTGCTAGAAAACTCAGAGATTTTCCTCTAGGAACAAGAGAAGGTGAGAAGAGGACAGGGAGCGCTGCCTGCCCACACATGTAAGTCTCATTTTCTGTTAGGTTTTAATGAGAGACCCTTTAATGATGCATGAGGTGTTTGTTTTATGCTTAACAAGTGTTTGTTCCTGTGGTGTTCAAGGGAGACTATGGCTCGGTCTGGTGGTAGTTCCTCTTTTGGACTGAAGAATGTGTTTTCTCATAGTAATGTGAAACTGGGGAGATTAGTGTGTAACTGACATTGTTGGTGATACTCGTAGTCACGCCAGTTTCTCAACAAATAAGCTTTTAAAATATTTTGATAACCTTTATATTCTTGTTCTTCTTCCTGTTCTTTAACAGAAAACTTATCTCTCTACATGATGATAAAAGATGAAAGTGTGTGTTTATCTAGCCATGCTAGGACTATTCTGCTCTTCTGTCTGTGAATCTCTTGGTTGTGTGTATGTTAGATGGAATCCAAAGTAAAGGTTAAAGTCCCAGTGCTCTGCCTTTTCTGACACAGATCTTAACCTCCAGCCAGTTGCCATGCAACTCAAACTCTAAATCAAAAGGAATTACCTCAACCACCACTGGTCTTTCACAGTTGCATTATTAGTGCAAGGTAATGCCGCTTCCAGCCATGCTCTCCACTGCTTTCCCACAGAAGGAGCCCTTGTTTAGGATTCTGGCTGTGCTTTTCTCCTCCTTTTTGCTCTGTTCATCCCAATTCATCTGTGCTCGAGATATCAGAGCACACTAATTGCTTCTGTGAGGGAGAAAGCTGCACACAAAGAGCTGTGTTATGTGTTTACCAGTGCTTATTGCAGTTGATATTAAATTATATCCTACAGTGATATTACCACAGTGAGACGTGTGTGGGTGTGCAGCTTGGGCCTGGCAGCAGCAGCTGATAATGAAAACAGGAGCAGTAGCAGTATTGTACACTGCATAGTAAACACCCATCTCATTATCCCTACACAAAGGGAGAGGTGGAGTGAGGGGAGATATGAGAGCTTTCATTTATCTCATGCAGATGTGTTGTTATTGCTCTGTGTCTGGGGAACATTTATCACAGCCTCTCTCCACAGTGCAGCACAATGTTACCATGCTGAATTGATGCTTTCTGTCTTGGTTGCAGGATGTGGCTGACTTTTCTTTACAGCTGCACTGGTGGAGCAGCTCTCCTGTATGCTCTTTACAGATGGGTGATCCCCGCCGCTGTGCAGTATCATGGAGGATTGGCGCTGATGTGGCACGATGTTATTGTGGAGCGGATGCTGGACACTGTGACCCAGTCCACACGTCCTCAGGTGTGTCTTCAATATACAGTATTTACTTCTCACAAGAGCACCCCTTAACACACTCATGACCAGAGTAGTGTGATGCATCCCTGCAGGTGAAGGAGACTGAGATATGGCAATGATGAAATTCACACAGAAGGCTTTGTAAATAGAAAAAGACACACTCACACACACACACTGTAGGTCAAATGTCAAAACTAAAATACATTTGTGCATGTATGTTGTGCATTGTAAGGGTAGTTCAAATAAACTAAGCATGTTCATACATTCTCAAACACAAATAAAATGCACCTTAAATGATTTATTAGGGGGCCATTATTGTAGCAAATCTATTTGCAAATGTGTGTGGAGAGCTGGGTAACTGTATCTCAACCCATAATCAGAATCAGATTTGTAAATGTGTAGACAATCTGTATGTGTACATAGATATTGATGGCTGAAAAAGTATGTTGCTCCAAGAGTTGGAAATACAGACAGATCATCAATTGCAAATGCGTGTGGAGATTTGTCTGTAACACTCTGCTTGCTCTGTGCCTCATTCAGTATACAGCCTACATCCCCGTGGTTTTAAGCGTGACATCACTGGACTAAGTAGTGGTTATGATCATTGACGTACAGTACATATTGTACAAAGTTGGTGCACTGACTGCTTTGGCCTGTTGATGTAAAATGTCAGTGTTACCACCATATTGAACTGGGCAGGACTTGTCTGTAAACAAAAACAAGTAAACAAGGGAGCTGCAGTTTTTCTGGAATACAATATTGTTTAAATTTATCAACTGATTACAATTAGTTGTTTCAAGGGTTAATGATCTGCGTGGAGTAGAAAGAAAAGTTTTGTCTCCTCGCTGCAGTATGAATCAACATAAGGCTTTCATGAACTGAAATATGGTAAAAACAGTATTAATTGTATGGAATATACAGTAAGGTTAAGCTTTAAATCACTGACTGCTACTGCCGACTGCTGGTATATCGGCTGTATAGCTACTGAGGCCCAGTGCAGACGGAGCGGTGCAGACAAATCTCCACATACATTAACAGATCGCTGCCATGACAGAAGTGTGGCAACAGTCACATGTATAAAGGCAGCCAATTGAGAGGCCCACCTGAGTTGTAACTGATGATTGTATTTCGGCTCTTGGAGCAAAACACTCATTAATATATATGTACACATTTACAGATTTGTCTACACACTTACAAATTCCAGTACACTTGCAAATCTGAATACAGATTTGGATTTTTTTTTACACATTTACAAATCTTATTATGCACAAACAGATTCTGGATACACATGTGCAGGTTCCTGTACTCTTTCACAAATCTAAGCGCGCATCCAGAGATTCTTTACACATCAACACATCTCTCCACACGTCTGCAAATAGTTCTGCTACAGTAATGGCTCAATAAGGTATGTGTAAACAAGACTTAGACTCTACAGCTATGCTGCTGTTGGGCTGTATTCAGGATCCAGGCACAGCAGTGCTTTGAGCTAAATGCTAATAACAGCGCTGACGTGGTGATGTTCAGCAGGTATAATGTTAGGGTGTTAGCTATCATTAGCAGTAAGCACAGCTGAAGCTGATGAGAATGCCATTCGCTTTGCCGATATTTGGTCATAAACCAAAGTATTGGACAAAATAAAACTTTGGCCTGATGGTTCATGAAGGTCAGTGGGCTTTGTTCTCTGTGGACCATGAATGTACTAAATTTCATGGCAATCCCTCCATTACAGGTGAGCAAACAGACCGACTGACATTACCATCTGCAGAGCCACGATACTAGTATGTCTAAAAAATATGTTTTTTGTCTCAATACATAAATGTAATGAAAATCTCTTGTTAGACATTGAGGACATTGCTGAACTTGATTCCATTTTTACACAGTGATGTAAAACCCCCCCAATCAAATCTTTGTTATGCCTCCGCGACAGTCCATCTATGTAATGTCCATCACTACAAATCTGCAAAAAATACGTCGGGCCATCCCATTCTTTTGATCACAATATTTCAAAAATGCATGAAGGAAATTTATTCAAATTTGGCATAAACGTCCACTTGGACTCAGGGATGACCTGATTAGACTTTAGTGGTCAAAGGCCAAAGGTCACTTGGTCTCATATCTGTCTCATTCACGTGAACACAATATCTCAAGAACACCTTGAGGAAATTTCTTAAATTTGGCACAAACGTCCACTTGGACTCAACAATGAACTGATTAGATTTTGGTGGTCAAAGGTCAAGATCACTGTTACCTCACGAATCCTGATTTAGGTCTTAATGAAAGAATTTATATGCTAATTATAACAAAATTTGACAAAAATAGGTCAACTCACTGTGACATCGTAATGTTCTGCAAAAACACTTTTCTGGCCATTATTCAACGCTGTAACTCAGGAAGAGAAAGGGAGACATTTGGTCAGATACTGAACTGGTGACACTAATCCTGGGTGTCCATTGTATAGATCCTCTGTGCTGCTGGGTTGAAGATGTGTGTGAAGCATCCACATTTTAGAATTTGTATTAACATCCATATCTGAGTCATTGTTAACTCTCATAGCATGTGACGTGTGACTCTGGACAGACATGGATATAAACTATAACTGCAGCTTGACGGGTCTGTGGAGGCATACAACAACCACAAGGCGGTAATTCTATTTTTTTCCTGGGTTCACTAAGCTTTTAAGAAAACAAGTCAGCTGCAGCTCAAGAATAGATTCAACCTGAATCAATGGTCTTTTCACAGACGTAACTAATACCATTCATAATAGCTGCAGTCTATATACTAGGTGTCCCACAGCTCTGCTATTGTGCATTCTGGTTCACTGGGACACTTTACAGCAACAGAGCCATGGTTGATGTTA